CTGCTGAACAGTGTTAATCTCACTAACGAGGACGTGGCTCTAGCTGCACACCCTGGCTCTCTAACAGTCAAGATGTTTGAAAAGCATTGGTTCGGTTCCCAGAACGCAAAGAGATGGCACTCTGAGCGAAAATGCACTTTTCAAATGGAGAAGGAGCTATTTATTTAGTCTCTGCTGTCCTGAGTCAGCAATGATCTCTCAGAGAGCTCGTCTGTCACGGCAGCTTTACTGCACCTTGTGCCGAGTCTACCCTGCTAATGACTTATGGACAAACGTGCGTAAGCTACAATATTTACGTGTTTCATTGATTGAATATATACAAGGAAGAAGAGGCAGCAGCTGAGTTCACATAACGCACGTATTTCCTGGTCACCCTGCCTTAAAAATGAAACCTCGGCCTTCCCCCTGGAACTGATGCACAACAGTGGAGGGCACAAAGCGTTCCCAGCGAGTAGCTCTGTTGGAGCTCACGGGGCGGCACACAAGAAGCACAGCATCTGGATTTGGCCAGGGCAGAGGGGCAGCACAACCAGGAAAAAAAGACCCTTGTTCGAATTCCTTCTGATCGCGCTGAGGGAAAGCCACCTGCAGAATGGACTTGCTGGGTCCTCGCTGGCGCCCACCTCGCTGCTCACGTGGTTTGCTAGGGGAAAAGTTTGTGTCTCATCCTGCTCGTGTTCCCCTGTCACCAGAAGATCTTTCCTTCCCTCTCCTCAATTCAGCCCAATCCATCTTGGTGCTAACAGAGCCAGCTGCGAAAAGTGCAAACGGCCCTTAGGGAGGCTGCATCTGCTCGCGCACCGCGGGCCCTTGTGCTCAAGCACCAACACCGGGACCAGCTTGGCTGCCAACTTAGCATGTCTGAAAGCGCAGCTGCCATATCTTGGCGCTTCAGAGAAACTTTCCCAAGTTGGATAAACATTTTCATTTATGGCCAGGAAGCCAGCTCATGAAACGTGCTCCATCACGTCCTAAAATCTTTGCCAAGATTTCCATCTCGCCTCACCTCTACGAGAGCGTTCCTCCTGCCTTTCTGGGCAACAAGCACAAAAAACACAGGCATGTGCAGAACAGAGAAGTTAAAACAAGAGGCAGGGACCTCCCAGATACGCCAAGACATCATCAGGATTTCTAATAGGCCCAGAAAAAACGGACTCCGTGTCTCCCTCTGTTTGCATCTCCTTGCCTTGCTGCTGTCAAACGCCAGCATTGAAGAGGCAGGACATGTGCTGTCGGACACACCGCACCACCCTCCCCGAGGGGTTATACGGATTTATGAAAGAACGACGGGGTCCTGACAGCTGCGGCCAACAACACGGCCAGCCTGCGTGACCGCAGCCCCGGCGGCCTCTGCGGCGGCTCTCGCCATGCAACGTGACGCCAGGTATCGCCACGCTAGCTCCAGGCTAGGGAGACGTTGCGTCAGGACAATGGGGTGGGAGCGCCTGTCCCTTGGTGCCGGCCTCAGCGAGAAGGCTGCAAACAGCTGCTGCCAGAGCCGTGGAGAAACAGCAGCCTTTCCCCTGATTACTCATTTTCTCAATTTAAAGACAAGCATAATTTCACTTCCTTCCACCCAGCCATACCACCTCCTAGGGAGTCTGGTTGGAGGAAATGTAAGAAATAAGGGCTCAAAACCCATCTCCTCACTACCAACATCTTTTTGGAAACAAAATCTGTTACAGTTATTACTGGGCAAGCATCCAGCTAGCTGGTCCCCCACTATCACACTCCTGCTGTCATCTTTGCACTTCTGAGCTTGCTAACAGATCACAGCAATACCATGAGAAGTTCTTCTATTTACTCAGCTTCCTTCTCCAGATGCATCCCCCAAAAGGCCTTAGAGACGTTATGTGCTCATGGTCCAAAGCACCCAAGTAGGAAATGTTTTCTCCTCTGGCAAGTGCAATCTGCTCTGGGTGAAATGCAACAGCTGTTAACGAACACGCGCTGCTACACTGCAGCGCAGTTTGGGACCAACAGCGAAGACCCCAAATGCATCCAAATGAAAGCAGAGGAGGGAAATTCTTGGAGGCAGAGACAGTCATCAGCAGAACTGGCATTGAATAAGGCTCCCAACTCATCTATCTTCCCTCAATTTTCCCTCCCTTCCTAGAGTACTCTGAGCCATCAATATACCCAAGAAATGTCGGAGCATCTCTATGTTAAAAAACCACTTTGCACCACAAAGACCACCTGCTCTGCTACACTAGTGTACTGTGCATCCAGCAACATCAACGTCCAAAACAAAACTAAGGAACAGTACATTCAAATATTTATGAACTTCCCTTTGTCAGGGAGTTAAGCACACTGACGCAGACTTGCTTTTCAATACGTCTTTGTTTTAACACTTAGCAGCTTTTAATCTTGGCTGGGACTCACAGGAATTTTATTTTACAAGATCCAAAAGCTCTACGTGATCCTTACGAGAAAGAAATATAAGCTTCCTTGGTACCGCTGAATCTACCCATGCCATTTATAAAGGCAACATTCAGGATGCAAACAGATGGCTAAGAAGCAACACTTTCATGGTTTGAAGCAGCTCTTTGGCATTTCAAGTAGCTAGGGCTGACGGGAGGAGTCCCACGATCCAAAACGTAACTGCTTTGCATGCTCTTGCTCTTTTGCAAAGAGTATTTGTTTAGTTACATACACCAGCAAGTCCACGGTTCTTGTGAGTAGAACTGGACAGGAGAATCTTTGTTTTCTGGGAAACCATCTATTTATGACAGCACTGCCCCAATTCTTAGGAAGCCACGTGCAGACCAAAGGACTTCTCAGAACAAGTTCAGAAAACAGCCCCGGGCGCTGCAGAGAAAGCTCCGTGTTCGACGACAGTACTGGCTTTGCATGCCCACCCTCCCATTTCAACACACTGATCCCACTGGGACGGCAAAGCTGCAGGCAGGATGGGAAACCAGACCAGGCAATTGATCTGCCTGCAAAATAACCCGACAAAAATGTTGCATTTTTGCTGTTTTGGCTGGACCAGCTGCTGGTTCTCTGGGCAGACTCAAGAACAACGGTGCTGGCACAATGAAGAGTGCAGGACAGGACACAACTCACACTGGCATTTTCCATTCTTAGCACAACAATTCAAATGACTTTATACAAATCTGAGACTCTTGAAAAACCTACCTGTAAGGGTCATTAGGGTCTTTGGCATCACAGACGTCTGCGTGGCCGTGGCAGACACAGCGCCCTCCAATGCTGATATCTTTGATGCTGTAGTAATACTAGAGAACACAAGAAAAGTTGGTCATGAATACTGTCATGAATAAACCTCACAGGTGCTTCCACCTGTACACCTAGACCATGAAAAGCTGCCTTACTCAGGATTCAACAGGGCTTTATTTGCTAAAATGACATTTCCTTTACACCGGCAAGCTCAGCCTCATTAGAGCTGACGGCTGGCTGTAATCTTTGTAAGAGAGTACATTAGCTACCAGCTGGGACTCTCAGAACAGCCAAAAAGCCAGGTGCAACACCAGCAGCTGTTTCCAGTTTCACGTTGCTGGTGGCTCTTCCCCAAGCAGTGTCCAGCTCCAGCCACTGCCAGGTAGCGCTCAAGGCAGGAGTCTCCAGCAGTAGCATCTGCTGCAGATGCCTTCACCTTGGCCGGAGCAAGAGCACAGAGAGAGGAGAAACCCGAAAGCAAAACCCAGGGATGTCTTCTCCCCAGAGATGGCACACACAGCCCTCAAACACTTCCATCCCCGTAGCAAGAGGTCAAGAGGTATCAAGGACTGCCTTACCCTCCTGGTCACAGTAGGGTCCCTTAAAGCTTTTCCCATCAGATGCCCCAGCAGAGTGTTTGTCTGCAGGAAGCGTAGCCTGATATTGGTGGCTTTAGTGAAATTCCGCAGGAGAGGAGAATAGGAGAAGTTCATGGCTCCTGGGCGCCCATTTACCAGCGAAACGACAATCTGTGAGTATAAGGAGGGGGAAAAAAAAATCAGTGTGATCCTTTGAGATGAGAGGAAATTAATCTCTCCCTCCGCCAAAGCCAGACCTGACCCCCTTCAAGAAGACTGAACCAGTTCCCTGCCAGTCTCATTCTCCAGAACTGTGCAGTTTAACTGACACCCAAAAGAGGGAACCAATTAATAAGAGTATCTACAGTCATTAAGAAAACAAAATCAGAGTTCTGTTATTTTCTTACACCCTTAAAAGACTGCCAGAAAAATCAGCTCCAAAGACCTACTCCCCAAGGACGTTTTTGGCATTAAGCATAGCATGGCTCTCTCCCTCATGCCAAGCCACTGTTCATATCAAGGCTGCTGTTTTCCACTTGAATCCGCTTGGATGCTGAGCATTTCTGAAGTCTCCTGTCCAGTGCCAGCACTGGCACCGATCTGTCTACATTTCTTCTTTTTACAAGCTCTTATAGAGGAGAAAGGATTTAACTTTAGCAGTCCCTGATTTGCAATTTTCTGACATCACGCCCTTTCCATTTTCTCCTCCTCTTTGCTGCTGTCCTCAAAAGCCTCCTGTTCGACCTGTGCTTTGTACAGAGCAATGTCGGTGGTCCACTGACCCTGTCACAGTTTGCTGTGACTGCACGGGTTCAGGCTCGGCCAGGGCAGGAGCACAGATGGCAGTCACACATCAACGGCCGGAAGGGCTCCCGTGACTCACGCTCAGAGCACAGTGGGCAACCGGATGCCTGCCGTCGTGTTCCTCCCGACTGCCGCACCCCATGGCCATTTATCATTGTAAGTGGAGGCACAAAAGGAAACAGGTAATGTTTCCACGCTGCTTCCATGAATGGACATGAATGTCCACCTCTGCGTGCTGCCTGGCCTCGTACACAGCAGGGACAAAGGACTTTCTTTGTCCATACAAGGAAGCAGCGATCAATGCTGCTCCACTGGGAATCTGTAGCTGGAGAACAAGCAACCACCAGAAGAGTGTCTACAGCCAAACCCACCCAGTCCCCACTCAGGAAAAGGGGAAGATCCTCTCAGCCCTCAAGGGCCTCTTCCTCACTTTGGGAACAAAACTCCAAACTTGCCACACAGGCAGAAGCCTTTCCAAGCTCAGAATAGCCAGAGCCTCCTCAGAGACTCTCCCACCTATACCAGTGCCCAGATGTCTCACTAGATTTTTCCCAGCCACAGAAATCCCGGAAACGCCAGGGAATGAAACAGTGCAACTGCTCACCTCCCCATTTTCTAAAGGCACGATCCGGGAATATTCAGTAGTGCAGATGGCATGGTCGTCCTTGGTGATACGATCCACTGTGTGCAGGCCAAACTTCTCTATGCAGTCCCTCTTGGAAGCTGTTCATCAACCAGAGAGCAGAGCAGTAAGAGGAGAGGAACAATTTGGAGCCCTGTATTCCCCCAGACTTGCCAGTAGGAGAGAAGGCCATACGCTCTGTGTTAAGCATTCACTAGATATAGATCGCCTTGCATCACTTATTCTCTCACCACTAAAATATATGTCATCTTCTCCAAGCCTGCTGAGAAGGGACGGAGTCACTATGGGAATAATAAGCATGATCAGAAATCCCCAGAAAAAGTCTCATTGCAGTGAATGAATTCAGCAATGGAAGGTGAGGATAGACACTGTGTGACCACCTGCAGCGCCGGAGCAAGAGAAACCTGCCCTGTAATTTTGGCTTTAAGCTCAGAGCTTAACTAGCTTGAGCTCTATGTCTAGTCTGGATTGGTCCAGCTTGATTTGACAGACACTGGATTTGCTATGCTGCTTCCGCTAAACTGCAGGGTTGTTTACTGTTCCCTACGTAGGGCCTTGCAGGATCACATCCGTGTCACTTCTTCACCTCCTGGGTCACTCCCAAAGAGCGAGCTAACAGGAACCGCAAGACGCGGAGCAGCCTCCTAACCAGAGTGACTGCGGGGCATTTCCCGTAGGACAGAGCAGGATCGCAGCCACGGAGAGGGAGCCTGCGGTGCCCGGCCTGGGACAAGCAGAGCGGCCGGCCACAGGACATTTCCTTCCCCGCCAGCCAATTGCTGAATTCTGCAATCACTCTTAAACCAACGCTACAAAACAGAAATGCTGAAGTCGCCTGCAAGCACCCCTTGGGGACAGCAATCCAGGGCTCCTGCCACTAAGTGGCAATGCAAGGCTGGCTAACTCCCAGGGCCAGCCGCTGCTGGGCAATCCCGCTGC